CCCCCATTAGATGGTAAGCTCCCTGAAGGCAGAGACTGTCTTATCTCTTTTTGTATTCCCAGTATTCACACAATGGCTGGCTGAGAGTAGACACTTAATAAAGGTTTACTCATTAACTGACTGATGTTGAAGCCACAGGATCAATCTTTCCATTCATCTGAATCTTGAGTGTCTAGCAGGTATCATCCTGGAAGAAGTTATTATTGCAGCTTCATTTTCTTCATTTTGCATCAATGGCTCTGCTTGGTTTTTGACTCCACATAAGGATCTCCTGAAATGACCAAGCAGATGTACTTGGCTTTGACACTTCACACCTTCACAGTTCCCTCTGATGCCTCTCTCCTGGGATTGGGGGCCTGAGGGGCGGAATCATAAGCTCCTCCCGCAGTCTCCTACTCTTCATCTTCCATCAGCAGCTCTGTTTGGTTACAGCTCCACACATCATGCCTCTGTTCCAATACCTCCCAGCTCTCACACCTTCTCACCACCCGGCTCTCCTCCCCTTTTCAGATTCCTCTGGGTATTGTCTCCCCCACCACTGGACTGTAAGCTCCTTGACAGCAGAGGTTGTCTTTTTCTTACTTGTATCTCCAGCACTTAGCACAGTGTCTGGCACACAGCAGGCACTTTATTGAATAGAATGGAATGGAAAAGAAGAAATTCAAGCAATCAACAACTACACGAAAAAATGCTCTACATCACTAATAGCAAGAGAAATATAAATTAAAACAATTCTTAAGTCCTACCTCACACCAGTTGAAGTAACATGGAATCTTGTGACCCTACTATGTGGGAGGGGGTAGCCTGCTTTATTGGCTGCCTTCATCTTTAAAACTGCAGAGACAGGGCAACTAGGTGGTGCAGTGGATAGAGCATCAGCTCTGGAGTCAGGAGGACCTGAGTTCAAATCCAACCTCAGACACTTGACACTTACTAGCTGTGTGATCCTGGGCAAGTCACTTAACCTCATTGCCTAATCAAAATAATAATAATAAAGCTGCAGAGACTAAGCCAATCAGGGTTTTTTGGCTCTGCTCTTTTTTGCAACTCTTATGTGCTGCATCCAGAGGGTGGCAATCCCAGTTCACTCAACAGCAAAGACTCCACGAACTGAACTAATGAGAGAGGAAGGACTCTCCTTCCCTACTCTATCTCTCTTTCTTTTGCAAGGTAATGAGGGTTAACTGACTTGCCCAGGGTCCTACAGCTAGTAAGTGTCAAGTGTCTGAGGTCGGATTTGAATTCAGGTCCTCCTAACTCCAGGGCCGATGCTCTATCCACTGCACCACCTAGCTGCCCCCCTACTCTATCTCTTTTATCTTCTCTCTAAGAAATAGGCCTCAGATGTTTCTGTTTGGTTATCTGTCCCTCCCAGATCCAGTGACCTCAGAGCCAGGATTGCAGGTAGGGAGGTGTGGCCCTCCAGCCTAGCAGGGAAGCCCTGAGGAGCCAGGATACCTGGGCATCAAACCTCCAGGTCTGTGGTGATCACCTACAGCACCTGATACTAAGGAGGACGACAACCCAGGACAGAAACAAACACCGCCCAGACCCATTTCTCAGAGTCAGGGTTAAAGAAAGGGAGCATGGCAGAGAGAGGCCATCCTGCATCATCAGCTCAGTTCTCGGCCTCCTCTCTACAGCTGCTCCAGGACAGGCACCCTCTGCCAGCAGGAGGAAAGAGCAACCACAGCAGGCTCCCTGCGCCCGTGGGACAGAACACAGACCTCCGTGTTACCCAAACTGGGCATCCCCAGAGGAGACACCCCCAGAGAACGAGGACTCACATGCAGAAATCATTTATAGCAACACTTTTTGTTGTGAAAGCAATGGAGAAAAAGTGAGCAGCTGAATGAAATACAGTCTGGGAACAAGAGGGAAAGTTATTACTACTCCCTAAGAGAGACAAACTAGGGTCCAGTCAGAGAAACCCGAGCAGATTTGCCTGAACTGATGCAGAGCAAAGTGAGCAGAACCAAGAGAACAATTTATACAAAGACCACAATGATGTGAAAATCTGACCAATGCCTACTCAGGACTCCAGAAGGCTGATGATGAAGTCAGGCAGAGAGCTGGCACAGAGCCTGTAGGTCCAGAATGAAACACACATTTTCAGACACAACCATTGTGAATTTCCTTTATTTGGCTCTACTTATTTGTTATAAGGGAAGGTCATTTTTCTTTTGAAGGGGATGAGGGTTTGACTAGGAGATAGTGATAGAAATGCAAAAAAAAGAGTATCAATCAAACACTTAAAAATGTGCATGAGTGAGCAAAAGGAAGTTTACAAGGGGTCAAAGATGAACAGGCTGTCGTCAGTACTACTGGGTTTCAATTCAATATGTGCTTAAAAACTGGGAGTTTACTCAGTGACCCAAAAAGTCAGAACCAGTGCCTGGATCCATAGAGCGACTGTATTTTTATCGACCAAATTGAGTGAAAGGATGTGTCCCTTAGTTTATGAGAGGCCAGATCAAGAGAGGACTGGTTCCTTTCTCCTTACCATCACCTAATGGAATTAGTTTTGGGGGGTAAATAGCACTTCTCCTAAGGTTTATCCTGATATTAACATTGATCCCTTTGTTTGGTATTTCTAAAAATCCCAACTGAAACTCCGTGCTTGTGTGATTTTATCAATGCTTTGGAATTCCTTCATTTTTTGTTTCTCTATTACTATAAAATGTGAGTTGGAAAGTACTTGGAAAGGACTGTTTCTCCAAATTAGGAGGAGAAATTCTATTAGTTAGAAAGCTTTCTCACCAAGTAGCTCGTACACTGACGAATCTGACAGATTTAGCTAAAACAAGTCTATGGTGCCTTTCATTATCTGCCTCTTACTTCATGGAACTGATTAGATCAACTAGGCCTCAGGGGAAACCGACTGCCCTTCTCTGCACATTGCTTCTCCTCTCTCCAGCTACCAACACAGAAGGCAGCAGGACGTAGGAGAGAGGGCACTGAACTGGGTCAAAAGAGGCTAGCCTCCACCACCCTCTAGTTGTGGAAGTTCAGACCAATCACTTCAGCTGCCCTGAGCCCTCTGGACAGCCTCACCCGCGGCTCAGCTGTCCCATCTACCTTGTAACTAGTCCACCCACCTCCAGGTTTTTTTCTCGACACTGGCCAACACATCTATCAATGGTCTAGCGCTATGAAAATGTCAGGCACTATGAGTTTCATAACTTGGAGGAATTTCTTAATTTTCTTGTTTTTTTATTCCTCGACTCTCCCTAATTTTGCTGCTCTGGAGCCCTTTTCTCTGTGCTCTCCCAGTGAAGCTCCCCAGACCAGGGGGTGGTTCTAAAGCCCTCCCAGCTGGTCACAGATTGACTGTTCTGCACATAGCCAGCCATTCATTTCTAAGCTATCTATCCGTACTTTTCCTTGGAACTACTTTAGGATATATTTTTTTATTCTGAAATCCAAGTAATTCTAATCTGAGTGGGAAAAAGTTATACATGTGTACAATGTTCTGTGTACAATGTTTTTCTAATTTAAAAAAAATTAGAATCGGTTACAAGAGGGTTTTTGAAACATAACATGAAGCTGGATAGTCTGGGCATTTTCTTGAAGCCATACAAGAACCCTAACAAAAATACTAAGTCTTTATTGTATAAACTCAAGATCATGAATGTGGTTAAATCTCATAAATGTCCAAAATGACATTTGCAACCCTGAATCTTGTTTTCTATCTGTAACTGTCCCCTCCAGCAGCTTCCCTTTCCACGCACACAGTAGCGCTTCCATATCCGTCATGTCATGTGACCCTCACAACAATTCTACCAATAAAGAAGCATTTCTCTGGTGACTGCTATTGCTGGCACCAAGCCAATGCCGGGAATCCAAGGGTAAAGCCTTTGACACGATTCCTGCCCTCCAGGAGACTGCTCTCTAGCAGGAGAGGTAGAGGAGCTAAGTGACTTACCAGACAGCACAAGTGCTCTGAACCATGAAGGGCCTGCCTTCTACTTGGCCTATGGACCTCCCACAACAGGCTCAGGGCAAGCAGATGCCTAGTGAAGTCAGTTAAGTTACTCGTAGGCAACCAGATAATACAAGGCAAAAGAAATGATACCGTTTCCTAGATTATTAGGACTGGCCACGTGGACTGGCTACAGTCACCACCAGATGAGCAACTTTCCACTCGAATCTTCAGCACACAGCCAGTAACACTGAATGCATAACTGCACCTGGCAGCTTAGCTCCAATGGATATTACAAGCCACAGCACAGCATACTTTCCACCTGAGTATGAACAGAGCATTCTTCTTGTTTGTGCCAACAACCATAGCTCGAGTTACAAAAGAAATAATATACAAATCCTAAAATTAATACACAAAAATTAGATAAAATACACAATACCTAGATGTTAGACTTAATGACAGTTTACTGAATTATATTAACAATAAGCTTGCATGTCAATTGTTACTTTCGAGCTAACAGCATTAAGTCAGAAGTGCTGCCAATAATAGATAGCATTAATAACCAGATAAATATATTAATATATTAATCGGTACATGAACTTGAAAATTTACAAAGCACTCTACACATCTTATCTTATTTGATCTTCACAACTGCTCTGTGAGGTAGATGCCCATTTTACATATGAGGAAACAAAAGCTCACAACCTCAAAATGGCTTGATTTTTAGGAATATACTTTAAGTAGTCAAGGTCTGCTTGGAGTACAAAAAAAAAAAAAGGCTAACCACTCCTTAAAAGACTCCCCACAAAATAACACATGGAAATCAACTGAAAAACATGGAGAAGCTTTCAGCATTGCAGCCCGGTATATCAGAAATAACAACAGATTTAAGAGTCGACCCAGAAAGACCTGGGTTCCAATTCTGCTTCCAAAACCCTTTAGCAGAGTGCCCCAGGATACGTCGATGGCATCCTCTTCATTTATAAAATGATAATGCTGCCCTGAGAACTTGTATAAAATAGTTTGCTATATGAAAAACAAATCAAAGCCTAAGTCCTGGCCCTTACTGAGACCTTACCATCAGAACTGGTGAGGACAAAGCTCTCAGCCTGCGTCTGCTTCTTCAGACCGATGCTCTTTGGGAACCAGTGAAGATCAATGGGGTAAATGTCATCTGGGAGCTTGACGATCAGGCTGGTCTCACTTGTTAACAAGTTCCATTTGACTATCTGGTGATCGTCACTACAGGAATACAGCTCTTCAGCATTGGTCCAGCCTACACAGCTTACTAATTCTTGATGTGTGACATGTCAAGGAAGTATGAGCTTTAACAAACCTAATAATTGGCATGTTATACAGGCTAGTGAGAAATAAAAGCAAAATATGACTTTAAAAGGGGAAATTCTGGCTATTACAGCTGTTTTTCCTCTTACCAGAGCTATGAGTCATTAAAGCACTAAATCCTATGATCCTATCATTTTCTTCATACAAAAAGTTGAATAGTAGTAGTAATACGTGATAATTTTTTTGTGTGTGGATTCGTTGTTTCCAACTCTTTGTAACCTCATATGCGGTTTTCTTGGCAAAGATACTGCAGTGGTTTGCCATTTCCTTCTCCAGCTCATTTTACAGATGAGGAAACTGAGACCAACAGGGTGAAGTGACTTGCCCAGGGTCACCCAGCTAGTCAGTGTCTAGGCCAGATTTGAACACAGGTCCTCCTGACTCCAAGGCCAGGACTCTATCCACTGATCCACCTAGCTGCCGTCCTGTATCATAAAAACAACATGGCAATTTTCAAGGAACGTCCAAACAGTGTGACCTTTGTATCAGACATCATCACAGTAATATGTGTGATCAGGACAGATCTTAACTGAAAACTAAACTCCAGGATTTTATGACAGAGAATTTGGATGACAATTCACTAAGTTTCTAAGTTACATACTAAGTTATGTATTTCAATACATACATGATCCAAAAGCTTTGGTAGGCTCCCACCACTTAGATATGTTACGCACACACACACACACACACACACACAATTCATTTTTAGATATACTCCCTTTCCTTGCTGTAACCCCACTTCAGTCTGGTTGATCTGCAGTTCTGCTGTTCAATGTAGCCTGTATAAAGTCACTCTCTCCATTTTTCCCACAAGAGCACAATGAAAATTGAGCAGTAGCCATCTTGAAGCTGCTGGTCTACTTACCGCAGCCCAGTTCCCACATATCTAACCTGTTTCAGGTTAAGATGACTTACAGATTCCACACTAGCCCTCATTTCGGGGTTGCTAGGTGGCCCACAGTACACAGAGCGCCAGGCCTGGAGTCAGAAAGACTCATCTTCCTGAGTTCAAATCCAGCCTAGTGTGACCCTGGGCAGGTCACTTAATCCTGTTTGCCTCAGTTTCCTCATCTGAAAAATGAACTGGAAAAGGAAATGGCCAACCTCTTGGGTATCTCTGCCACAATGACAAGAAAGCACTCATTTCCTGCTCCAGGGGCTGATGTAGCCAATTCAGTGTTAAACCTTCAAAAGCTCAGCCACTACCTATTCCTCCCACTCCCTCTTCCAGACAATTAACAAATAACTTTCTTACTTTACAGATCCTAGTTTTCTCCTCTTCCCACAGCAGTAACTTCTGTTTTCATTTATACGCTTTATTTTACAAATGGGGGAACAGAAGCCTTGCTAGAGAAGTGACTTTACCAGTCACACATAGGGCATAAGTTAAAACCATCCCTACCACCAAGTGCTCAGCCCACTACAAAATCTCTTTCTCAGGCTTCCCTACCGGAGGTGCTTATGTGTCTCTCTAGCCCCCCCCACTCGATGAATTTCTTATCTTTGTCTTTCTGCCTTATTTTTGTCTCTCCAGAACCTAGGCCAATAATTCATATAGTCAGTGCTTAAAAAAAAAAAACTGAATCCAGATGTTTAATACTTGAATTTAAGTAAATCAATTACCAATATTAAAGAAGGTAAACAGTATATACTTTTTTAAGTGAATGGCATGAAGAGAACAATAACTTGCTTAATATAAGACTTTAATGTTGGCAAAGTACTTTGCCTATGTATGAACCCTAGACTTCTAACCACTAGTCAGACCCACCCTGCCCGTCTCTGGCTTTCCAAGTAATAACAAGAGAGACAAAGCTTTACTACTGCAGTAGTAAGGAGTAAGTAGCCTTTCAGAGAAGGATACCGAGTGGTTGTCCCTCATGCTTTTGCCTTGGGGACTGAGAGTGGGGAGGAGCAGGTGCAGTAGCCTAAGCAAGAGGCATCCAGAAGCCTCCCCAACACTCAAGCCTCCCACCCAAAAGTATCTCAATTCTACCAGGAACAAACATTTGCTTTCTCTTTTAAAATCTGAATATTCCCATGAAGGTTGGAAGGGATCATACAAAGCATGCAATTCTTCAGAAGCTCAGCAGAGTCATGCAGGGAATACATAAGAGAGACCAGAATGAAACCCGGCTTCCTGGGACTTCAAAAGCCACCTCTGCTCTACTCAGCTTGCTTAGGAGGCTCCGTGGCCAGCAAATCAATGACTTTCCAATACACGGCCACTAAAGGCTCCTTGTTTCCCAGCACACCCAGTCCCCCAAGCTCACTGAGGACACAGGCTGTTTAGTTTGGGAGTTTTTATCACCAGTCAACATGGCACAGAGTAGGTGCTCAACAAATGTTGGCTAAACCAAGCCCAACTGGACAAGAAGGACGCGCAGGGCTCAGCAGCAGCAGCACCTTGAGGAAGGCCTAGAAAGAAGGGTGCTACAAACGAGGTGAGACACATAGGGAAGGAGATGGTGGAGGTCCGAAGACTTTCTAACGCTGCATGAGCACAATGTCTGCTCATCCTAATGACCTAAGGCCGGATAACTGGGTGTAATAGCCCCCAAAGGGCATACTCCCTTTGTTTCCCTACATGGACAGTGAAATTCTGGAGGTCATTTCTTAAAGGTAAAAGAAAAAGTATAAATGATTTTGCTTCATGTGTTACTTGACCAGAAAGGTTAAGTATAGTATTCACAAAATCAATAAAACTTGCCCAGGACAGGTGTGCACCAACACTGAGTCACGTTTGAACTGGCACTCACTAAGAACTACACAAAAACAGCTGCTTTCATTGAAGAGGAGCTGTCGATAGACCAGTTTCCCACATCTAGCACTGCCAAGTTAATTGTTTTGTGCACCTCTAGAAGACTGATAACCCTTTACTCAGGGCAAAAGTTCTAAAGACTAGTGGCCACATTCTTTCAAGCTTCTTGGCTTGCCTCTATGGACCAGTTCCTGGTATTGAACTAGAGGTGACAAGGATGGAGGAAGAGTAGTCCCCATCTTCCACTGTCCTGAGCGGTCTCTGTCATCGCAGGGGTTTGCTAAACCCCAATCTCCTATTTGTAAACGTTCCAGTGCTTTCAGTCTCTTGCCACTGATAAAAATGCTCTTGTCCTTCCCCTCTATCTGGAATTTCTGGTTCTCTCATTATCACTGAACCCATTCATTTTCTCCCAACCAATTGGCTCTTTGTGCCACATCTGAAGCACTCCGATCTTACTAAGGAAGTGGAAATGGGGTGAAAGAATGCAAATTCACTCCAACAAGCACTTAGTAAGTCCCTACGAGATGCGACACTCTTACTCCCCAAGTGCTGGACACAGATCAGTCACTAACTACAAAAGAGGGGGAATACGAGGAGCATAGCTCAAACAAGCAGGAAGGCTCAGGAAAGGCCTCTAAGACGAGTCTGGAGCAGAGCCTTGAACAGAGTTCTGGATATAACCAGGTGAAGGAGCCTTCCTAGCACTGGGGAGAGCCATGAGGAAGCAGGACATGGAACGGTGCTGTCAGAGAAGAGTCTGGCCAGATGAGGTGACAGCCACCAGCAGAATCTGCTTTATCCTAGAGGTGACCAGTCACAAGAGGGGGGACCATATGATCTCCATGGTCCCATCACGGGCTAAATCTCCAGTTTTATGGAAAAGAGAGTCTCATTGAATCTGTTTCAGAAAATATGATCATAACGAAGCAAAGGTTCAGGAAAAGAGCAATTAAAACACTGCAGAAATTAGGGAGTGAGGCCCTGCTGTAATGAAACAGACTGAAAAAGACTTAGATTCTTCCATCTGAAAGGGAAAGGCAGAGATTTAAATCTTCCCTGTTTCTAAACTCTATGAATAATGAACAGGGCTGGCAATGGGGGTAAATAAAAGGATGACAAGACACCAGCTCCCCCAATCCTCCTTGTAACTTGACCAAAGTAACTTCATGTGTCAGAGACACATCAGAGACTTCTCTTTGCTCTAAGGGGAGACAATTATTAAACACTAATGGATACGAAAAGAGTTGGGACAGATTCCTGAGTGGCCACTAAAGGAAAGTGGTGTCAGTGAGGACAGCACCTCTGACGCCTAGGGTCTAACCTTACTATGGCAGATACTTCATTATGATGTAAAATCATGAAATCACACTGCATAGTTATGACTGTACAGATTCTCCAGCTGCCCCTGCTGCCCAACTCCTCCTCCACTGCCTACTGCATCTTGGCAACAGATCCCATCACTGATAGAGACTGAAAACTTACTGGTTCCTACCTTCCCTGGAACAAGGAGGTAATTGTTTTACTTTCAGAGGTTTTCTCATGATCCTGATAGACTAAACAAAAATTCTATTTATGTCAAATAAGTACTCAAGTGGAACAGGTGAAAATGTCAATTAAAAGGTCCATGGTTGATAATCTTATCTGAAGACTCTGCAGTATATATAAGCACAAATATTTAACAATATTTAAATCAAAGTTTATCTCTAAAGAGACATGAAAAAGCAACTGATTTTCCAACCATAAGAGAACGATTAAAGTAAAACTGTAAAATAGTTCAATGATAAGGTCCAAATAAGTTTTATTAAGAGACAAAGGATATGTTTTGGTTCTCTTAGAAGTGATATCTTCAGTCTCATTTTCTCAAAATTTTCAGTTTCCAAATGAATGTAAAAGTTGCTTGGCTATATTCACTGTAGAGACAGACATTCGAAGAGCATCAAAAATCTGCATAAAAAGAAAACACACTGACATAAATAAACAAAATAAGAAGACTGTAACAACTTCCTTGTATCCTACTCCACCATCCCCTAGGAGCACCAGAACACTGCAAAGTACACACACATACACACAAACACAATCAGAGGAGTTTCTTGGTCAGTTAAATGAGTTTACAGAATGGGAATCTTATCTCACACCAAATGAATATTGGGTCACGGCCACCCTCTTGTGCAAGGTCTACAAAAAATGAACTAACAGACCTAGACAGCCACTTTTGCCTCGTCTTTTTTCAGCAGAGACAAGAAAGCAGCCCAGATAAAAAGTGACCTGGACTTCCAGACACTGAGAGCTGCCTTGGAGCAAAGGTACTGCCAAAGACAGAACTCCAGGACCATAAATCCTCGAGCATGCCCTTGGAGAGGCAGTAGGAGAACGCTTAAAACCAAGATGCTGGAGGTACAGAGAGGGGAATTTCATCGCTGAGTGGTTAGAATTCCTAAAGCTCAAACTTTCGGATGAGTATTAAGAGTTTAGAGATCCAGACTTCTTGTAAGACAAGGAGAAATGCATGGGCAGAGCTAGCCGTAGGGATGCCTTAGAGTATATGTACGGTAGGAGCGATACCTGCCACGTGGGTGAAGTTGGTAGCCACTTTTCCAAGGCCTGAGCCACTGCCATAGCTTTCTGGTAGCCTAAGTACACCTCACCATGGCAGCAGGAACAGGAAAGCTGTGCTCAGCTGAATCAATGCTAGGGCCTTGCTAAGCATTCTTTCTATGCTATAACTAAGTCAACTTCTTCTTCTGAATGTTGGGTGGTTCTTCGAGGTCTTACTTTGTTTCATTTCTGAACCTGAAACACCAGACTGGCCTAAATCAAGCCCACCCTACAACACCAACTGGGATCTAGCCTTCTAAACAAAGAAAGCCCCCACAACTAGCTTCTTAGAGGGAGGAAGCTCACACAAATAACTCCCTAAGCTGAAGGACCTGCAAAAGACAGCCAAGACAGTGAAACAAGACGCAAACTTTGCCCTCGGCTATTACTGTGAATTATTCAGATGGTATGGGCTCATACCCATATGATACCCATGTGATACCCAAGATTAGCCTTCTAAAACACCAGACTGATGTTTTCCTCTAGGGAGGCCCATGCCCTTATGACAGTGCCATAAGGCTAGGGGCTATATGGATTCTTGGGGGTGACAAAGGAATTCACTAGAATGTTGGAGAGGTACCTCTCTATCAACCCCATATTAGCTTCCTTGTAAGGGGAGTTCAAACCACAGAATGGTATTATAACTCTGGAGGACTGCACAGGACATGATTCAGTCAAATAGCTGCACTTGAGGACCTAGAGGGCTAGATGTGGCCTCGAGGCCGCAGGTGCCCCACCCCTGACCTAGGGGATAAAAGTAGCACATGGAGGTGTACCTGAGCCAGTAGGAGAATTGTCTCCACTGTTTATGGGCTATTCTAAACCCTTATGCTGTTTCTGCATTTTCCTGTGAGTTGGAATAAATTCTGTCCTGTATCTAATATTTAGCATTACCATGAGGACTTATATGGAATTTTGGGACCTTCTTACTGACCTCTATCCAGATCTAGACATGGGTTACAAAAGCTCTATTAGATTTCCCCAGAGGGAACTCTGGCTAAGGACAATTCAAGACCAAGAGGGATACAAGTGAGTCAATATTGAGCCTGACCCATATAAGCCAGTGCCTCAGATTAATGTCAAGCGCTCCAGTTTTGCCCCTCGACAAGATAAATGAAATGATCTCACAGTCTCATGGGCCAACTCAGAGAAGCAATTTATCTCAGTGATCTCTTTCTACTCACAGCCAACCCTGGGCAATGTTGAGGATCTGGAATACCTCAAAGTGAGTGCCAAGGTTTGGAGAACCCTAAGGGTTCTGTTTTATTAAGTCTTTAGAGGGCTTATTTCTTCTCGAATCTCCTAGGCCACTTCCCAGAAGCACCATGGGATAAACTCACAGAGGAATTTTACAGACAAGAACTCTACCTAGTCTCAGGCCAAAGGTACTCCACTGGAGTATCTCTGGATCTTGCCATATTCTATGAGGGCCATTGCCCTCAACTGGACTTCCATGGGTTCTAAATGACTCCCTGACCTGGGAGTACAAATCTGTGTCACCCCTTGGGTAAGGGTGATAAAGGGCCCAGAATTTATGGGGTGACAAGTCACTAAGTCACTTAAGGAAACCATGTTGTTGCCTCTAACAACTATGCCCCAGACCCAAGAGGTCTTCTGGCTCAACACCCTCCTTTTAGAGCTGAGGAAATGGAGGCCTAGACAAGTCCCAAGGCTTCCCACTGACAGTAACAGCAGAGGTGGGACTCGATTCCAAGTCCAGCACTCCTTCCACTGCCTCTTGATGCCTCAGCCCATCAACGAGCAATCAACAAGCATTTCGATAGCACCTGCCCTGGGTCAGGCCTTTGGCTGGGCACGAAGGTAAGTGTGAAACAACCACTCTCCCCTCAAGGAGCCACGGTCCCTAAGGGGAAACGGTACAACCCTAGAAGGACACCCCGACAGTGGCAGCTGAGAGGAGTCAGGACAGGCATCACGTAGGCACTTGTGCCTGAGCACTGATGTTCTGAAGACACCCAGGGAATTCCAAAAGGCGGAATCTATTGCACATGAGGGATGGATCATACAAAGGCAAAGAGGCAAGAGGTAGCATGGCCAACATTCAGGACAGCAAGAAAGCCAGTCTGGCTGAACCACAGATTGAGTTCAGAAAAGTCATGTTCGAGGAGCCTGGAAAGATGGGTGAGAGCCAGTATGGAAAGGGCCTTCAACACGAACAGAAGAAGCATCTGCATTGGATTCGAGTAGCAACAAGGACCCGATGGAGCAGGAGCTGGGACCTGAGAGGATGACTGAGACATCTGTGCAAGAGGACACACTTGGGGTGGGATGGGTGGGGGGGTGACGCCTCACTAAACACAGGAGTCCTCACAAAACTATCAAAGATGACTTTTACTGAAAGTTAACATTCCCCAAAATCAAGAAAATGGTTAAAGTGCCTCAATCCAATGCTACACTTGTACAAACACCCCTGACTAATGATAGGCATCAAAGTGAAAATTAAACAAACTGATCCCTCAAATGAAAGCTTAGTGCAAAAAGCCTCTCCCCAAAAAAGGGAAAAGGACCGATATGTGCAAAAATATTTATAGCAGCCCTATTTGTAGTGGCAAAATATTGGAAATTGAGGGGATGCCCATCAATTGGGGAGTGGCTGAACAAGCTGTGGTGTATGAATGTAATGGAATACTATTGTGCAATAAGAAATGATGAACAGACACACTTCAGAAACCTGGAAAGACTTGTATAAACTGATGCAAAGTGAAATGAGCAGAACCAGGAAAACACTGTACACAGTATCAGCAACATCATGTGATGATTGACTATGAATGACTCAGCTCTTCTCAGCAACACAATGATCTAAGACAAGTACAAAGGACTCACGAAGGAAAATGCCATCCACATCCAGATAAAGAACTGGTGGACTCTGAATGCAGATCGAAGCACATTTATTTTTCACTTACTTTATTCTTTCCTTTTAAAAATTTTTTTATTTATATTTATTCTTATTTTTCCTTTTGATGTTTCTTCTTCCACAACTGTGATGAACATGTAAATATGTTTTACATGACAGCATATGTATAAACTATATCAAACTGCGTAACATCTTCAGAAGAGGGGAGGGAGGGAAGGAAAAAAATTGGGAACTCAAAATCTTGTAAAAATGAAAGCTAAAAATAAAAAAAAATTACTACAGAATGTTTTAAAAAATGGAATTTAAAAAAAAGCCAAAACAAACCCTCTCCTCCAAGTGGAAAGCTATTGCTTAACTGAGTCTATACTCAAGTACTTCAATATCAGACATTGATAAGAATTTTTTTTAGTAAAAATTACATGAAAGAAGAAACACGAACATCTCCTTAGCTGCTGCACCACAGAGACCACTGGACCTTCCCAAGGTGTTGTGTCCATTAGAATGTGGGCTCTTTGAGAGCAGAGCCAGTCTGGCTTTACTATCTGAATACAAATATAGCATTGGATTGAGGCACTTTAAACATTTTCTTGATTTTGGGGAACATTAACTTTAAGTATACAGTGCTCTGTACACAGTAATTGCTTAATAAATGTCTTATTTATTTACTCACTCAAAAATCTTCTAAATCAGTAATCATGATGGTATTGAATACAGTTTTATGTATGTATGTCTTTGGGTGTTTATTGATAAATATTTCAAAGCATGCTATTGATTGATACTATTCATAAATTTTGAGATAAGGTAAAAAGCTATTTTAACCACAACTCACCAAAACCAGAATTATCATCTTTCCTAATATTCTGAGGATTTCTGTGGACCTGACTCATAGGTGGCACTTCCTGAGTGACTGATGATAGAAATCACGTATCTCCTAATAGGCATGAAGATATCTATGAAGATAGAATGAAGTTTAGTATATAACCTACAGTTAACCACTGAGACCTGTATAACATCTTAACATCTGTTCAAGTGTAGCCCTCACTTGAACAAATGTTGAATGTGTATATGTGTGTGTGTATAAACATACATATAAAACACATGATACATGTAAATGTGAATGTATATGTATACATACATACATATATATTTATCCCCACGGTAAAGGCCAGATCAGTTGAGCTTATTCTATTGACAGAAAAAGCACCAGGCTGATCACCTGTCAACTAAGTGTTTGGCAGAATGTCCAACTTGTTGATCCCTGTCCTATGCTGAAGTCGGGGACGAGGAGGGGCTGAGAAGACTAACAAAGCCCCTGCTGGTAAAAATAAGTGCCAGAAATTCCACCTTGCTGCTATGAATAAACCAAAGGCAATGGAGGTCTGATTATTGGTGGGAAGAAGAAATAAGATTTCATTTGAGGCTATAGGCTACTTCTAGATAGGTCAGACCTGGGAAAGGCACTATAAGAACAGGAGGACTTTTAGATAGCTAGAAAGCACTGAATGCCTCAGGGCTGAGGAAGTAGGAACAGAGAAAGTTAAATAAGAAGGCACCAAAAAGGACGTCACCTACTTTGACTAGGGTCCTGGTTGCGACAACTGGCCCATCTTTGGCACGGTGCAGAACTACGACCATGTGACTCTAGGAGAAAGTCATGCTTATATAAACACTTGGTGAACCAGATTAGGAGGGAAGACAAACAACTGGGGAAACAAAGCACTTCTACAGATGGAGTAGGTCTGTATGATCCTTAAGACTTAAATAAATTATCTACAGTTCAATTCAATTCAATAAGATTTAAAGAATGTATACTAGATTCCAGGCACTGAGCAGACTACACATTTCTGGCCCTGAAGGACCTTGTATACTACTGGAAAGAAAGAACACATCCACAAATAAGTCAAAAACAAAATATAGAGAAAATAAACACAAAAATAATAGAAGAGGGAAGGCGATACTTGCAGAAATCAGGAACGGACACCTAGCCTGCCCTCAGAAAGACTCTAGAGATTCTAACAGGCAAAGGTGGAGAGGAAGACCATATCAGGCACATAGAGATAGCAAAGAGGCCAGAGTCAGAAGGTCCCATACAAGGAAGCCAGTTTTGCTGGAATGTGGAATGTGAGAGGGTAAATAATGTGAAATCAGTCTCCTCCCTCACTCCAGGGCCAAGCCTTCTCCAAGCCAAGCACTGCTGCTCCACTCCCACCAATCTTCTCCAGCATCTTCATCCTCCCCAGTACCCCCACTCTTGCCCAAACTAATAGCTCCCATGCTCTTCCCTACAAAATACCCACTGCTCCCTATCTTTCACAAAATTCCCATTAGATTCAACCATCTCCACCAGCTACTAGCCTCCATCGCTACCCCCATTCCTTCCAACCCTCCTCCACGTCATTCCTTGAGTAAGTAGTCTAGGTGCCTCCTTTTCCTTTCTTCTCACTCACTCCTACACCTTCTGCAAGTTGGCTTCTGACCTCATCCTTCAACTGAAATTGTCCTCTCCACAGTTACCAATGATGTCTTAATTGCCAAATTTAATGGCATCATCTCAATCTTCCTCCTTCTTGACTCTTCTGAAACATCTGACAACTGCTGACCTTTTCATCATCCCTACATCTCAGGACACTGCTCTCTCCTGGCTTTCCTCCTACCTGTCTGACCACTCCTGCTCCTCAGGTTCCTCATCCAGGCCACACCCAGGGCTGTGGGTGTCCCCCAAGATGCCTTCCTGGGCCCTCTTCTCTTTTCTCTCCATGCTCTCCTGCTTGGTCATCCCACTCACTCCCAATCTCTACGAAGCTGGCTCCCAGATCTACATAACTGGCCTAGTCTCTCTCCTCAGCTCCAGAATTGCATCACCAATTGTCTCTTGGACACCTTGAACCGGACTCCCACAAGCCTCTCCAACATAACATGTGCAAAACAGAATTCATCGTTTTGCCTCCAATTTCCCCCCCAATCCTCCTGGGTCAGCCAGGTGTCACTGCAACATCCAAACTGCTGCCAATTCTTATCATTTTTTTTTTCACATCTTATCTCCATTCACACAGCCATCACCCTAGTTCAGGCCCTTTTCATCCCTTCCTGGACTTACTGCAAATCACCTTCCAATTGGTCTCCAGGCCTTGAGTCTCAAATATAATCCACCCTCCCCAGCTGCCAAAGTAATCTTCCCCAAGTGTGATTCTGACCATGTCACCCTCCTCCTCAATAAGCTCTAGTGACTCGCTATCACCTGCAGGATCAAATGAATTCTTACATCTGACATGGAAGGCTCTTCATAGGCAGGCCCCTTCCGACCTCTCCAGTCTTCTCACACTTTACTGACTTCCACGGGCTCCCCAATTCAGCTGCACAGCCCTCACCAAACACCCCATACACCCCTCAGCACTTAATAAAAGTTTGCTGACTGGCTCTTTTGGGTAATTTCATTCACTCCTGTGGGTTCAACTGTTGTCCCTACACGGATGACTTTCAAATTTACACATCTGGCAGTACTCTCTCCTGAACTCCAGATGACAAGTATTGCCAACTGCCTGCTGAAGACCCACATCTCACATTCAATACACCCAAAATCTAACTGATTACCTTCTCCCCAAACCCATCTCTCCTATAAGCTTGCCTATTTCTGTTGAGGTACCACTGCTAACAAACCCAGACATCTTTCATCCTTCTTCCTCTCTAGCCCATTATATCTAATCAATTACCAAGTTTTGTCTATTCTATCTTCACAACCTCTCTCCTATCTTTCCCCTTTTCCCCACTCACATGGCTACTTCCCTACATTAGACCATAACCATCTTCCACTTGGCCTACTGAAATGGATTACTAATTGGTCTCCCAGATTTCAGGCTCTTCCATTTCCAATTCATTTTCCACTCCAAAATTTTGATCACTTTGTGATTTTATCAATACGGGCACTTCCTCCAAAAACAACCCATCAACATCTCATTCTATACGGCTCTTATCTACATCCTCTAACAAATTCTCCACCAGAGCAGGCTTCTTCTAGATTAGGATTGGGCTCCAGGAACTTAGTCATTTTTACAAAAAATATTTTGATAACTGTATTTCAATATAATTGGTTTGCTTTGTAATCCTATGTATTTTACCCATTTAAACACATGATTCAAACAAGGAGTTTGAGGTGTCACTAGGCTGACCACCAAACGGTGGCAGGACCCAAAAAGGTGAAAAACCCCTCCTGCACATGTCTCTGTATCATGTGTCTACCAATGGAGCACAAGGCTTTCTTTCCACTGATTATCCCTCATTCCCAACCATATGACAGGCCCATCTCCTTTTCCAGTAATACATCTCTCTATGAGGCTTATCCCACACAATCCTTAACTGGAAAGCCTACTCACAACTACCAATCACCTTTCCACTGCTTTTGGTGACCACACACTAATTTTCCAGAGATCATGGTATTTTAAGACTTGTGGCTATGCTGCAATATCAGAAAAATACCACAGTGTAAAAGATGGGCCTTTATTTCAGGAAGAAGCTCAGGGCTCATTTAAAGCACTGTGCGGTTCGCCAAATATAACCTCACGTACTTTCCATCTCCTATACAATTCTGTTTTTGTTGAAGCAACTGAGGTTAAGTGACTTGCCCAGGGTCACCCAGCTAGTAAGTGCCTAAGGTCACATTTGAACTCAGGTCCTCCTGACTCCTGGCTGCCCCGCATTCCCCATAGCATTCTGAGGCCAGGTCATCACCTACCCAAAATGCCTGTTGAAGACACAGGCCACGCAACAACACATGAATATCAGTGGCATTGAAAGTCTTCCACAGTCGTGCTCCAAACATTTCCAATTACTCCATACCCTCAACTCTCTACTCCTATAACAGCTGCTCCCTAAGCTCAGCCAGCCAGGTTCCACTTTGGGTCTTTGCCCAGGCTGCCTGAGCTCAGGTCAGGTGCTATCTGCTTGGAGAAGAGGCTTCCTCACATCCCTTTTCAGATTCCCTGTGCACACTTATCTGCGCTCTATACCCCCACAGACTAGAAGCCCAATGTTAAGGACAGTGTCATCTTCATCTTTCCTTCCCGCAGCGTCCAGCAGAGTGGACAGAACCAAGCCAGCCTCAACATGTGTCCTAAAGCTCTCCTTAATCTTCTCAAGGGCTCAGTGACACATAAATGTCATCCTCTCTCAGTAGATGACCTCACTTTCTATGTTATGAAGATCAAGGGCTCACTCCTGAGCTCCCAAATTTACCTCTTTGCCTCAATATAATTCAATTTAAAATTTTTTTTTGCCTTTTTTGGCTAGGCAGTGGGGTTAAGTGACTTGCCCAGGGTCACACCGCTAGTAAGTGTTATGTGTCTGAGGACAGATTTGAACTCAAGGGCAATTCTGGGAGCCAGCTTCATACAGACTGGGAGTGAATGGGATGACCAAGGCAGAGAGCACAGAGGGAAAAGAGAAGAGGGCCCATTCAGGGGTAGGGATCTATCTAATTTTGAGCTGCAGAGGAACAATACAGGACAGACAGGTACCTCCAAACCACATTTCAGAGAGCTTTGAATGTCATGCAAAGGAGTGAGACCTTCTCATAAGAGGCAGGAACTCAGTTCTGACCAAACAGATGACTCCAATGTTTCTCAGCATTGTCTCCCTCCTCATTTGCCTCTCAGGATCCCTTCCCTGCCTCCCTCAACTCAAGGTTTAGCTCCTGTCACTTCCACACAACAAAAAGCCTTCCTGGATGCCCATCTTCCTCATATTTAGCATTTGGAATTGGCCTAGTTATGTAGACATTCCCCAACCCAGTTCAGGGTTAGCTCTTTAAAGACTAGGGAAGGGGGAGGCAATGAGGTGAGGGTTGTTTCCATTTTTACTTTTGTCTCCTTGGTGCCTAGCACAGTGCCTGGCACACAGCAAGTGCTTGATAAATACTTGTTGAACTTAATAGAAATGGAGAGGCAAGGTTTGGAGGCAGAAGACCTCAGGCAAGTCTCTCCCTTTGGCATCAGTTTCCCCATCTGTAAAACAAGGAGCCTGGCTGGTTGACCTCTCTAGACCAGGAGCTGTTACCCTACTTTACATCCTGGATTGCCAAAGCAGTCTGGGGAGACCACACAGACCCATTCTCCGTGCGAAATACAGAAGATCTCCAAGGATCCCTTCTACAAGGCAAGGTCACCAAACCAGGGGGCAGGCCAAGTACAGGAAGGACAAATGGAGTGGGGGGAGCTGGGCAGCCGCGGGGCCAGGGCAGAAGTCTGGTTGGAGGAGGGGGAGGGGAGGGGACGGCAGGAAGGAAGAAGAAGATGAGGGAGGAATGGGGGGGCAGGGGAAGATGAGAAAGGAGAGGGAGGAGGAGGGGAGAGGAAAGAGAAGATGAGGAGGAAGAGAACAAGGTAGAGACGAAGAGAGGGAGGAGGGAGAGGAGGGGGGCGGGAAGGGGGAGGGGGAGGATGGAAGGAGGAGGGAGGGAGAAAGGAAGAGGAGCAGGAAGAGGAGAGGGAGGAAAAGAAGAGAGGGGAAAGGGTGGGGAGGAGGGAGGAGAGTGAAGAGGGGGAGGGAGGAGGGAAGGAGGAGGGGGACGAAGGGAAGAGGGAGGAGGGGAGGAGGAGGAAGAGGGGAGGGGAGGAGCGCCCATCTCCAGCATCCGTCAGTCCGGGGTCCGCCCACCCGCGCGGTTCCGAGGCCCAGCCAGTCCCCATCCTGCCCCGGGGCCTCGTAGGCTCCTCCCCAGGCTGCCCGCCTCGCCCCGCCCCGGCTGATAGCCCCTGCCCGTCTCCGGCCGCTCCCTGTGTCCCCTCCCCCGTACCTGCGGCCCCAGAGCGGCTGCTGCCCAAGGCCGGGCCCGCTCTCCAGCAAGCGGCTACCGGGCGCCCCGTCACCATAGCGACTCCCCACGACATCGCCCGCCTCTTATCGCGATATTTCCTCCCGTCCCGCCGGGGTGGGGGGGGGGTGTCCGGGAGAATTTGTACGGCCCCGGAGAGGGCGGAGCTAACCAGCCCCGCCCCTCCCAATCCTGCCTCCAGCCTCCAATCCAATTGCGGCATTTCTTGTTCCCGTTTTCAAACATTTGAAAAAAAAAAAAAAGGAAAGGGGGGGGGAAATAAGATGTCGCTCGCGCCTCCAAGGGCGGTGCCCGAGACGTACCGCTCTCATAGGTCCCAGGCTCCAGGCCCCGCCGTTCCCTCGCCTGCCCCGAGGCCTGCGCGTGCGCAGTGGCTCCGAGGGAAGATGGCTGCGGTAGCGGCCGCCGCATTTTTTTCAAATCGGCGCTTCCCAGGAGCCACCGCGCGCATTTGTAACGAATTTCCGTTCGAGTTTGGATTTTAGGCGCCATTTTCGAGTGGAGAAGCCGGAGCCGCGGCAGCGCCCGAGCAGCGGAGAGCGAAGCGGAGCCTCTGGGCAGGTACCGAGTGAGCGCCGGAGCCCGAGCCGCGGAGCCGTCCTGCCGCCGCGGCCGGGCGCGCGCCCGGAGGCCGGGCGGTGGCGGCCACCGCCGCCGACCACTCCCGCCTGTCAGTCAGCCCGGCGAGCGGCCGCGCTCGAGGGGGCGAAAGCCGGGGCCTGGGCCCGGGAGGCTGCGGGGGCTCCGCTGCGGGGGGAGGGGGGCCCGCCTTCCAGGCTCGGGGTCGGGGGGGGGGGAGCGGGGTGGGCGCCGGCGTGAGGCCCCGCGTCTGACCGGCCCCGGCCCCTCCGCCTCAGCCGCCGTCATGCCGCCCCGCAAGAGAGCCAAGCCGTCCACGGCCCAGCGGCCGAGCGCGGGGCCGCCGCCCGACGAGCCGGACGCGCACGAGCCCGAGCGGCCGTCTTCGGCCGACCCCCACTCCCCCGCCGAAGCGCCGCCGGCCGCCGAGCCCCCGGGCCCCGAGCCGGACGTGCGCAGCCTGGAGGAGATCCTGGCGGCCGTGCCCCCGCCGCCGCCCCCGGCCATGACCAACGAGCTGGGGGCGCCGCGCCTCATGATCACGCACATCGTGAACCTGAACTTCAAGTCGTACGCGGGCCGCAAGCTGCTGGGGCCCTTCCACAAGGTGCGCGCGGGCGGGGGCGGGGGGCGGGCGGGCGAGGGGGAGGGGGCCCCACCCACGCGGGACCGCGCCCCGACCGCCCCCGCCGCCCGTGCTTGCCGCCCCGCAGCGCTTCTCGTGCATCATCGGCCCGAACGGCAGCGGCAAGTCCAACGTCATCGATTCGATGCTCTTCGTGTTCGGCTACCGGGCGCAGAAGATCCGCTCCAAGAAGCTGGCCGTGCTCATCCACAACTCGGACGAGCACCGCGACCTGGACAGCTGCACGGTGGAGGTGCACTTCCAGAAGATCGTGGACAAGGTGAAGGGGGGAAGGGTCCGCGCCCCGGTGGGGGGGGGCTGCCACGGCGGGGGGCCGCGGCGCGCCGAAGTTTGCAAAGACCTTTGGAGTCTAACGCGGCGAGAACCCCAAAGCGCCTCGGGCATTTGGGACCAAGTGTGAGAAAGTACGGCAGCTTCTTTTGTAAAGAAGAATTTTCTCACTGGTGACCCTTCTTGAAGGGCTATCCGTGATAAATAACGCGGTTGCATTCTCAAATTTTAGTTTGCCTCCACACATACACTTAGCATTTCTAAGTCGTGTGTAGTTTGCCTAAATTAAAGACGGTCTCCAGTAGCTTGCATAGCTCATAGGAGTTGGAAGGAGGTGGTCCGCTTTAAACTTGAAGCGTTTTGTTCGCAGTATGAAATTTGCTTCTGAGTAACCGAGTACAATTTTACGGAAGTTTCTTCTGTGATCGTTTTTAACGGGTGACGGACACTCCACCCGAGTCAGCGCCCACTCATTTCTGCCTGCTTCTTCTTGCCCTGGACTCCCAGTCATTCGTAACAGATTTTAACACACAGCATCTGTTTAAATGTCTTGTCCTCCTCTTGAACCCGGGGTTTTCTGCAATGAGTAGGGCTGCTTTTCTCCCCTCTCTCCTCTACTCCTCCTTTAGTAACCTCTATGTAGAAAAGTGAATACACAGTGTTTAATATATTAATTTACTGCCGCTGAAGGTACAGCCTGTGCAAGGAACCTCAAAAAGACCCGGTAGAACAGCCTCGGGAGTCTTGGCTTGGAGACAGCAGTGCTGGGGGGGGGGGGGGGTTGCGCCCGCTGCCATTCTCTCTGAAAGGGAAAAGCTAGAGGAGAGTTGTGACGGAAGGCTTGACACCCACACGTCTTTTCTGGTTTTATTTTTTCATCAACATAGGAAGAGGAGGATTATGAAGTTATTCCTAACAGCAATTTCTGTGTATCTCGAACTGCCTATAGAGATAATACTTCTGTGTACCACATAAGTGGGAAGAAAAAAACATTCAAGGATGTCGGCAATCTCCTCCGAAGCCATGGGATTGACCTGGACCACAATCGATTCTTAATCTTGCAGGTGAGTCTGCGATTTGACAGCTCCTTCACATTTCAGTATGTTTTGGGTGTGTGTGTGCTTTTTTTTTCCTTTTTCTTTTTTTTTAAAGAGAGGTTGTTAATTGTCTAGGAAGAAGCCTCTATTTTGAGACCTTAAAATGCTATAGCAGCACATCATGGTTTACATATTATTGACAAGATGCGAATCATTATTTGCTGCTTTAGAAATTTGAGGGGAGAAAGTCATTCAAGAGGTACTTGTTTCATGGTTTTGAAACTGTGAGGAAATCGTTTCTTTTTACCTTGTAACTGGACGGACTGTGACATGCTTGTTCCACTCTAGCAGCACGTAAATATTGGCGTAGTGAAATAAATCTTAAACGCCAATATTATTGTGCTGCTTGAGTGTGGCAGGCCTACAACAGCAATAGCTTCAAAAAAAATAAATCACTATATTCCTCTGCTTATTTTTACACTGTACTTTAGAGTAAGCTTTTAAAGTGGAATGTTTTTTTCTTTTCTTTTTGCTTGTCTATTCTTGAAAAGTCATAAAAAATGAAATATTTGAATTCATCCCTAACAGATAATCGTGAGCATATAATTATGCTTGTAAAATAATAAGCCTGCTTTTTAAATTAACCAGACAGAAATTTTATTTTAATTTCCTGACATTTGAGGCAGCCACATCTGAAACTTGTGTAATTTGTTTCTCTTCCCTTGTGACTTTCAGAGCTTTTTTTTTTTAAATGAGGACTACAGACTTGACTGGCTTCCTCAAGGCCCGTTCAGTTCTAAAATTAAGATTCTACAGAACTTAGGGCAGTTACTTTGCTAGTCGTGATTTAAAGCATCATGAAAATTGTGAGGAGCAACACTACTTTCTCAAAAGGGAGTACAATAATATGTAATGGAACTCAGCTTTCATTTTTTATTTTTAAAATCTCCATTCTCTCCTTTAAAATTCCTTTCCTAGCAATTGCTTGGTAGAAAATGCCCTTTTCGTGTATTTGTGTTGCTTTGCCAAGAACTCTGCATTTATCTCAGGCTTTGTTTGCCTGGACTGCCTTACTTGTAAATTCATTTCTAATAGATTGCCAAGAACCATAGTTTTTAACCCCAAACCTCAATTTGTGGTAGTGCCCTTTAACGGTTGGTGCTTCTGCATTAAGTTCGGAAGGCTGTACGGCTCCTTTGTCACTGGACTTGGAAACAGGGTTTCTTTTAAATGACAGAGGGCCCCCAGGAGGAAATATGTAAAACTTCTCTTGACTATGTGCTGGATTCCTGCCACAAAATACTGTGATTTAAAGAGAGGGAGAACAAATGTAGGATTGGTGGAGTTTGGGGATTAGTTTATAAAACCTTTTTACTTGAAGAGTGTAATTTTATCAACTGACGTTATTTTTTTCCTTGTTTATATGTGCATCTTTAAAATGGTTATTTCCTTATCCTCACTTGAAAATGAGGTGAGGATGTTATCAAACCAGCTTTAAAATTTTTTAGAAAGAATTTTCATACTTATCGTACAACGTAGTGTCATCTACTACAAAGCACAAATTTCAGTCCTTACACTAATTTTTTCTGAGAATATTAGGTTCATCAACTTTTTAAAAAATCTATTACACTTTGCTATTTTTATTTTAGTACTTGACTCCTTTAGGGTAAGCAATTAATTTTTATGCACTTCAAAGTTGAAGAGCAAAAAAACCCCACAAACTTTAGATTTTAATTTCAGCTATTCTGAATAAAAAGAATTGTCCTGTCCTATCCACTCTCCTTCCCCGCCCCCCACCGAGTTGTTAACCTGTTGTTGACGATGTATACAACAATCCTGTGACAAGTGGGAAATACAGTAGGACAGATAAACTTTATAACTTTATAGAGATAAGCACCCCACACCCTTCT